CGGGGGGGGGGGGAGCGGGGGGGGCTGGCATATGGACGCCGGTCTACATAAAAGCAGCCTGCTGCCAGATAACACATACAAGATTACTTTAAATACAAAGAAAGCTCGTATTATCTCCGCCACTTAACGTAAAAGGATGAGATTATCGATACAACAGTTAATGAAGCATCCAATGGCGTTTCAAGCACGCGCACTGCCCGCCCGTCTGCACACATTCATATCATAAAAATCCAGATAAAAAATAGAAAAACCCCACATGGACTTGCAGTTTAGTTGTAGATTTTAGTCTTTATTGTACTATTTTTTTTTCTTGACAATTTTGCTAGCGGACATGTGAAAACTTGGACAACAAAACATCATCAATCTCATCATCAATCATTATTATTATTCATTTTTTTTATTACAGCATATCGTCAGACTGCGGTAACAGTGAGAAGATGTGTTTTTAGAAAAATAAAAGCAAGAAATAAAATCCAAACAAAACAGGATAAAAGAAAAAAAAACATTTTGAACTTAATATTTCGATGGTGTTTTTTTGTTTGTTTTTTTGTAGTTTTTTTAAATTCATGTACACAATATAACAGTCTAAAACTTAAACACAGAGCTTGAGACAATTGCAGTGTTGGTTGGGAAGTGGCAGTCCTTCAGGGCAGTATTATATAGTCTCTTCACACCAACGCCGTCGCAGTGTGAAAGGACCCTAACAGGACGCCGTTAACACGCCTATCACAGCTCACTCTCAAGGTGGCGTTACAGTCTGAATGTACTAGAAAGCCTTCTTGATTTTAAGTTGTATAAGAAAACTATAAATATATAAACAGTAGGTCTATTTCTCAGCATTTGGTTCACTTCTGTGAAGAAATGTAAAATAAATTGTCTGAGAGAACCAACGAGACAAGAAAACACAGAATTTGTCCAAAAAGAACCTGATTAAGTCTAAAAATGACAAAAAATACAGAATACAGACAGAAAAGTTCCCTCTTCGGCATTCAGTTAGGGTGCCTGATCGTAGCCAGACGTCCTCCCTTACATTATCTAACAAAGTTACACAAACACCAACCAAACAGACAGCGATGAGTCTTATCTTCACCTTCATCGAGGCCACATGCATTAATAAGTGCTTTATAATGACTAATAAAGACTGAATATGCTACTAATATGCTAATAAGGAGTAAGGAAAAGCATTTATCTTGTGGTTCAGTGGTCCCGAACCTGGGGGTTGGGACCTTTACTAGGGGTCGCCAAAGCTTCACGGGGGCATCGCAAGGCCTTTTTGATATTTAAAAATATACACAGTAGGCTTAATTGTCAAAAAAGAAGCTTATTAAGTCTGTTTGATTGTTAAAAAAAAAAAACATAATATGGACAGAAAATGGTATAAAAAGTTCCCTAAACAGGAAATAATCTGCTCAAAATTCATCCANNTTTACACAAACTTCCTGCAGTTCCAGAGTTCACTGTTTGAGTTCATTGGACAGTTTTTAATATAATATGAAATATCTTTAAAATATGTCACTATGAGGACCTTTAAATATACTTGAGTAAATGTTCTTTTCTTTCATGGTGGGAAAAAAGAAACAAAGCTTCAGCTCCTTCTGTCTCCAGTTTCTCTTCACAGGTCTTCACAATTCACAAATTTTCTTCTGAAAGTCTCATCTTCAGTAGTTTTAACATTAGTAGCACCTTAGAAGCATCAGAAACGACCACTTTTGACATCTGCTGCCTGGTTTTTAAGCACAAACAGGAACATTAAAGTAAAAGGGGACTCTATCAGGTGGTATTTACAGCTGCTTCTGCATTTTGTGGACAAGAAGGTGCAGTTAACAGATCCCGAAGCTTTAAAGCGCCGTTATTGAGATCATGTTGAGCTCTGGGCGGGGAAGCGTCCTGACAGAGCGTCTTTAAGCCAGAACAGTGTAAGCTGATCTGAATGTGAGCTGCTGACACACCTTTAAAATGAACAAAGGAGACAAACGTTAGATGTTGAATCACAGCGGGAGATCATACAGAGGTCAGACACGACGCAGACCTTCAGCCGTCAAACCTTCACAACTCGTCAATCGGTGTTTCTGTTGGGATTTAATTACACGTTTATGCAACTTTAACCAAAGTCCTCCAGAAAAGAAACTGAAACTGTTGAGTTTATGGTAATTACCTCATGTGTTTTTGTGTCATTTTATAGTTCAGGTGTGAATAAAAACAGATAAAATTACGATAAAAGAAGAAAAGAAACAGTTTGAGGAAACTGACCGTTTAAGTTTATTAACTCAAACAATTTAATAATTAAAGACATTTTATTTGAGTAGAAGGAACTTTATTGTATTTATTGTGAAGGTAAATTGAGTAAATTAAGTTAATTGAAGTTAATCTCATGCAGCATTTCTTCCAGACTTATTTAAAATGTAATAAAGTTACTTAAATACATCTTCTTTATACAAATGTCACCACTAAAGATGAGTTTTCCTCCACTAAAGTAAATTATTACACTACCTGTAAAAACAGCTAAGGTACGATAAATACAATTTATAATTAATTGGTTATCAGAAAGTAGCCGATTAATTCACTGTGTTGTTTTATGTGACACTTTTTGGTATCATTAAGAATTACTTGGATGTATATTTGGGCTTATGATCTATATTATAGAGCTACATTATAATGCTTTACATTATTATAATGATATAAAGTCAACTTATATAAACAAAAATAAGTCTGCACATATTTAATTTCACTCAAAACAAATGAGCTGCAGTTTAAACAGTTTATTTTTGAGTTTGATTCCTGTGAATGAGTGACTCCAGTTTGTTTGGAGGATTCATTTCTGTTAACTTACTTCTTTTAGTATGATTTGTCGTCAGGTTTTACAGACGATAAAAGATAAGGACGGTGAAAGTGATTAATAAGACGCCAACATAAGTAAATACAAGAATAAAACAAAATAAAAGTAATAGTGAATAAATAAAAGAATAAAACGATGTTATGTAAGAGTGTTTTATGAAAAAGGAATAAAATGAGAATAAATTAATTTTCTCTCTCTGACCTTGTTCTTTTGTATCTTAATTTTTAATAAAATACAGCAGAAATAGACAGAAATACAGTAAAATAATTATTTTTATAATGAGTATTACAGTAGTAGCTACAATAAACTGTAAAAGCTGTCAAACTATGACAGTAAAAGGCCATAAAGTTTCAATTTAACTTCAATAAAATTAAACTTTGCTCATTTTGTCTCTCAGGTATCATAAAATTTATATTTCTTTATGAATGCTTCTAAAGCTGAGCATGACAAAGGGAGACATTGTGGACGTTGTTTATTGGCGTATATTCAAAGTTCAAAGGAGAACAAAACTGTTTCTACAGCGCTACGATTCATTCAGACGTTAAACAAAGACATAAAACAGTGTAAGTAATAGTTTACACAGATAAAGAAGTAAAAATGTAGATTTGGAAGCACAGTACTGTAAAAACTTTCTGTATAATACCACATTTCTTTATTACAGTAAAATACTGTAGTTTATTTTGCATTCTTTCATTTTTATTTTTATTTTTTTTATAAAGCTGGAATATTTTACAGTATACTAGTATAGTAATATGACATTATTAGTGACTGATAACATATATAATACAATTATTAGTAGTAATAAGTAGTAATATTAATATAACTGGATATATTACAGTAAAATGTAATAAAATACAGCACAAATACAGAATTTAATCACATTTTAATCACATTAAAGTGATTATACGGTGAAAAACTGTGACAGTAAAAGCCTGTAAACTCTAGCACAACCTTTATTTATACGGCATTTTAAAGGAATTTACACAGAAGAATTTTTTTATATTGCCTATTGTGTGACATTCATATGGTGTTTTGGTGGTTTCTTTCATTGGTTTTGATGGTAAAAACTTGTATTTATATGGTAAAATATGGAATAAAACTCAACAATCAACAGTACTGATATCATTTTACTGTATCAGTAGATAAAGTTCTACCATATTTATTATGGTAAAGTTCTGGCAAACACAGCTGACGGTTTTTTACCATAAAAATAGCATTTTACTTTACAGTGTATTTTATTATAAATCGAAATACACCAACTTTCTGGCAACCACAGCTACCAGAAACTCCCAGTAACAGAGTACAAAAACGTCCTAACGTCACTCCTCTTTAAAACCTTCTGCCGTCAGCGTCCCTTCAGAGGGTCCTCGGGCCACATGTTGAGACTCACAGCAGCAATAATAACACATGTCTCGCCGTCTGTAAAGTGCGCGGTGATGATAATTCCCTACTGTCAGTTGAAATCGGCAGCATACTGTCTTGCTGTCGGGCCAAATCTCTGGGATTATGTTATTACAGCCGTAATGCCAGAGTACAGTAGCCTCACACACACACACACACACACACACACACACAGACCTCAGGGGAACGGATGCTTTGTGGTTAAAAAGACGTTTTAATGGACAAAGCGAAGGTAATAATCGTGTCAGGTTTGATGCGTTTGAGTGTAAATGAATACAGTTTGTGGAAAAACAGCTTTCAAACAGCAGATGGAGAATATGTCAGGATGATGATAACGTCTGAGTTGTCTTTAGATTTGTCTTTAATTGGGTTACAGTTAAGGTCAAAGACATGGAGCGAGGCAGAGCAGATGGATTACATGTCAGGATTATAACGTAAAGACAGCGGCTGCTAAATATAGAACATACACCTACATGGTAATACTGAGCTGGCGCGGCGAGCTTCTGTCTTTACGGTTAGATTAAATTACATTAGTGGATTTAACGTTGTGAGGAGCGAACTGAGTGAGACTGACATCGAGGCTGCAGCTGCTATCATTAGATCAAATTAGAGTCTGAAAATGGAGGATTTGAGGTCAAGTTTAAAGACATTTGAGCACAGAGATGATGATTGAGCTAGAGTGACGCCCCTAGAGGGACTTTGGAGTACTACAGAGGTACTTTAATTTCTTTTTTTTTAAATGTTCATTTAAAAACATAAGTTGATGTCTTTAAAAGAGTGTAATCACTTCAGTTTCTACCACAGACAATGAAAAAGATCCTCAGTGAAACACAAACTCATGTTCCTCATTAGATTTTAAGTAAAGCAACTTTAATGCCGTCTTACGTTACTGCATGATGACAAAACAATGGTTTGGACATTTTAAATTACAGTCAATACAACTCCCTTTGGGTATTAATAAAGTTAATCTTCTTATTATTATAAACCTCCTGTTAGCGCCCCCTAGAGGCTGCAACATTCATTACACTAACTGTCAGTCAGTGTATACAGCGAGGCTGACAGCTGTTCTATAATCTGATCAGTGCTTAATGTCGTCCTAACTTACCAGACTCTGTGTATTTTCTTTTCAACTCCAGCTCCACCATCCTCTCTCAGGGGAGAGTCTATCACTAACAGATTAGCTGTGTGAGGTTCGATGGTACAAAGTGAAATCAGCTGCTAGAATCCCAAATCAGGAATCAATTGTTGGACTATAACTTCTAAAGTGGGGACTCTTAAAACCAGCGGTGGCATTAGTGCAGGGACGACTAGTGGAGTAAAGACGCAATTAAACAGCATTGTACATTAATAAAATAGAATAATTAGTTTAACCGACTAGTATTTCTGGTGCCTCAACAGAGTACAACACCCTCTGTCCTTGGACCCTCGATTCAGGCCGGAACAACTCCCCAAAGAAAACCTTTAACAGGGAAAAAGTGGAATAAACCTCAGTATCTATTATTTTAATTACCAATTAGTTGTTTGGTCCATAAAATGTCAGAAATAGGTGATACATGTTTCCCAAAGACCATCATGACGTCCTTAAATGTCTCGTTTTGTCCACAACCCAAACATATTCAGTTTTCTGTCAAAGGACTAAAGAAAATATTCATATTAGAGAAGCTGAAATCTGAGAATTTTGACTTTTTTTTTGATAAAATGACTCATAACGATTATTAAATGATCAATATAATTGGGGTTTTCTGATACATGAAGAATGTGGATTGAGGAGGACGTTGTACGACTTCAAGTCTCACCAAGAAATAAAGTTTACAGTTTTATTCTCGTCGGCAGGACCAACTCGGACTATAAATGTGAGGGTTAAGAGATTAATAGCGACTGACCGACCCACTGAGAGGATAATGGTGTCCAGTGCGCGGCAAGAACTAATCTGAAGCACTAATTGAAAGTTAAGGCGAACAAATGAGTTTTAAGTTTGGATTTAAAGGCCTCAAAGGGGTCTGATGTCGGTAGGGATGTTATTCCAGAGGAAGGGGATACTATAGGAGAAGACCCTGCAGCCAGATGACTTCTTCCTGACTTTGGGGACCACACAGGAGCCCAGAATTCAACATTTCAGAGGATCTATTGTCAGAAATGTATGTATATTATGTGTAATTAGTGTATAAGAAAATAGATCCTTCTCACTTTGACAGACTGGGGCTTTAAGTCTGGAGAAACGCATCACTTTAAGGCACCAAACATGTTTTTAAGGCTCCACAACAATTATCAGTTTATTTTTCCCAAATTCCCAAAATGGAAACAAACGAAAACAAACACAAGACCAGAAAAATAAAGCAAATAATTCACTTTCCAAGTTTTTATTATTAACTTGTGATTTATTTACAAACCAAACAAGCACAGTTCTTTACATAATCAAGCTCTTCCTGCTATGTGAGACACATTTCACTGTGGAGACATCAAACCGAAGAGTTTCTCCCCCAAAAATTGATAAAAAAAAATGGATTAACAGCAGAAGTAATTACAAAGGCTTTGAATTAAGTGCAATTACTTCAACACCTTCACGTTTAAGTCCAGAACCCGAAGAAGAAGCAGATGTTTAAGTCATTACTTTTGCTTTTCATCTCAATTTGACGAATAAACAAACTTGTGCTTTCACCGGCAGATATCTGAGTTCTGATGGTGGGTAACATTTGGATTTAATAGTCTGTAGGTGACACATTTATCTGGACTTTAAAACGAAACTCAGACACGTCTTATCTAAACGTGTTTGGTCCGCTTCATTGTGGAAGAAAATAGTGAATCTGCAGATATTCAGCTTTAAAGACTTTATTCATCCTGATAACGAGCGAGCGGACGGGCGAGCTGCTGCAGGCTGATGGGAGCGGACTGTTCCCCCGCGTGGCTCAACCCGATGATGTATGGAGCGTTTAGTCCGTTCAGACGAGTCACTGTAAACACTTAACACACACAGGGAAGTCTATATGTTCACAGAGCGAGAGAGAGAGCGATAATGTCTGCTGTCAGAGGAAACACGAGGCTGCGCGACAGGATGTGTGTGTGTTTGAGTGGATACAGTAAGTGCACATACAGCAAATAAACAGTCCATCCAGGAAGTGCTACGTTGTCCAATCATAACAGATCCTCCACATAAAACTACTAAAACACTTTTATTCTCACTGAAAGTTGGCTTCTATTTTAATGAACTATTATATTATTTTTTTTGCAATTTTCACCTAAAAACAGCTAAAATTATCTCAACAATCCCCTAAAATAACTCTCTTCAAAATCCTTTTGTTACACTGACATAATAAGACGAATGTGCAATGTACAATCTCCCGTAACCCCGAAATTCCACCGGGCACGGCTTTGTAATCCCACGAGAGTGTTTAAGAAGTGAAGTGTCTTCACAAAACGTGTTTCTTCGCTTATAATCTCCTCTGACTGACTGACTTCCTGTCTGGTGTCACACTGTTTATGTAGCATGAAATTCCATCCAGAGTCTGCACACAGTATTTTATTTAGAAAATTGACTCTGTGCCGTTACTGTGTCTCAACTTCCTGCCAGTGCGATCAAAAATAGACCCAAACAAAGCAGAACGGAGGGACGCTTCTGGTAGAATTTTATTCTTTCTGATGTTTGAGTTAAAGTGAGTGAAGTTTTATGATATTTCACCACAAACGCTTTGCTGCTGATGGCAAGAATAACACGCATGTTGCTTCCTTCAGTCAAGTGAATTAGATTGTAAAGCAATAACAGCGATAATTCATAATCCGTGATGATGAAGATAGAAAAATAGAAATTTAAAAATTGCATATAGTCATTATTTTAGTGTCACTGTAGCACATTTTGCAGCTATTTTCTCATCTACGTCGGTGAA